AGGTGGTGCAGGCTCCTACCCTGGGGGTTTTTAAGAGGAGGTTAGATGAACACCTTGCTGGGGTTGTTTGACCCCAGTACTCTTTCCTGCCATGGCAGGGGGTTGGACTAGATGATCTGCTAAGGTCCCTTCCAACCCTAGAAACTATGAAACTATCTGTAATTCAGTCGTAAAGACACTGAACTCTTACAGGATGTATTGTTGCCAGTGTCTCCTAACCCTCTCATCTGTCTGCTGGATGTTGGATAGAAGAGATGATGGTGCAAATCCAAGCCAATAACTAAAAATTACTACTTTAAAAACAAAATAATAAAGCCTCTGGATAATGTGCATATGATCATTAAATGTACAGCAAATAGCAAACTTTTCATAGATTCATAGACTTTAGGGCTGGAAGGGACCTCATGAGATCATCGGGTCTAGCCCCCTGCCCAAGGGGCAGGAAGTCAGCTGGGGTCAGATCACCCCAGCAAGATAAGCATCCAAGTGATTCTTAAAGGTATCCAGAGTAGGTGCTTGCACCACTTCTGGGGGAGTCTATTCCAGATTCTGGAGACTCAGATGGTAAAGAAGTTTTTCATTATGTCCAGTCTAAAATGGTCTTCCAGCAGTTTGTGGCTATTAGTGTTGTATTGGGGTGCTCTGGTGAACAGAGCACCCCCATTTCCTGATGCACACCCTTTGTATACTTATAGGCTACCACCAAGTCACTCCTGAGCCTTTGCTTCTCTAGGCTTAAGAGTCCCATTACTCTCAGCCTCTCCTCATAAGGCCTGTTCTCTTAACCTCTACTCATGCGTGTGGCTCTCCTTTGGATTGTCTCAAGCTTCTCCCCATCCTTTCTGAAGTGTGGAGCCCAGAACTGGGTGCAGTATTCCAGCTACAGCCTCATCAAGGCTGAGTAAAGTAGGAGGATGACTTCCTGGATCTTGCTTGACGTGCATTGGTAGATGCAAGCCAGAGTGTTATTTGCTTTGCCAGCTGTGGTATCACATTGGTGGCTCATGTTCATCTTGTGGTCAGTTATGACCCCCAAGTCGCTTTTGGTACTGGTGCTAGTGCGTATAGCACTGTCAAGCCTATAAGTATGATGTGTGTTTTGTTTGTTTTTTTTTAATCCCAAGGTGGAGCACCTTGCATTTCTTTGTTGAATGTTATCAGGCTTTGATCTGACCACCTTGTGAGCCTGTCCAGGTTGGCCTGAATTGCCAGCCTGTCCTCTAGCGTGACCACACTTGCCCATAATTTGGTGTCATCTGCGAACTTAGCCAGTCCACTTCTGACACCTGAATCTAGATTCTTTATGAATATATTAAAGAGTACTGGTCTGAGTACGAGCCCTGGGGGACACCACTGGTCATCATGCACCATGTTGACTTGGTTCCATCAACTGTCACTGGCTGGGTCTGACCATGAAGCTAGTTTCCCAGCCATTGGACCGTAAAGTGGTTGAGGCTGCAGTTCCCCAATTTTACCATGAAGACATCATGGGAAATGTAAAATTTTTAATCTTACTTTAAACAGTAAAAGAAACACAGAATTGCTATCTGTTTTTAAATGTATTGACTTTTATGCTGTTTAGTCTTTTAAACCTTTAAAAAGAGAACAAGAGAATGACTAATCGTGTGAAAAGCCCTCTTGTTATACAGCCTCTCTCTAAGAACACTACATGTGGAAACTGACAGTTGCACTGGCAGCATGTTAACTCATCAGTGAATGAGCTTGTGAATAGACATTGAAGGTTCACAAATAAATAACTAGTGCACTATGAAATCATAATTGTGTTATTTGAGGAGTAACTGTCCATGTTCTCTGAGAAAGGAATGAAGTTATAGTCTAGTATTGTATGTTGAGTTTCTTTCAGCAGCTTTGTCATCTTGCTGAATAGTTCTGACTACAATACTGTTTTAAAGATGTATTTTAACTAGAGCTACTTGCTAAAGAAAACTTCAGAAAATATTAACCAGATAGAAACAGATTTTTAAAATCTCCCCCTACAAATGCAGTTCCTTTAACCACAGTTTTTTTTAGAACATAGTAGCATCAGTTTTTTACGGGGGATGTTTGACTTTTTTTTTAATTCAAAAAGGTGATATGGATATACAAAATGAATTTCAGGGTTCTGTTTAGCATGAAAACTGTACAGTGTCTACACACATTTACATTGGGATACTTTAAATGAGAAAATCATCTATGCTTTTGATTACAATCTTGGAAGGACATTTTCCGATTCCTTCACTCGCCCAAGAGCAAGAAGGTAAAGGAGGAGATAGTTACACTTTCTAAACCCTCTCACCACTTGCACGTAGCACCAAATCTAATGCAGTTATTTACCTAGTAGGAGTGTGCGAAATGGGCCATTTTCGATTCAGATTCGGATTGGGCCCAAATCGGAGACAGTGATTTGGTTTGTTGATTCAGATCACTATCTCCAATTCAATTCGGCCAAATCTGAATCTGAAGATTCAATGCTGATTTGGAAAATCAGTGACTTGGCCATAGACACAGCTTTAAATGTTGGGATGAAGCGTCCCACAGGAGCACAGGAGGGGGCCTGCATGCTTGGTGGCAAACCCAAAAGTGGACCAGAAGTCCTTCCAGTCCACTTCCAGGTCCACTGCCAAGCATGCTGGGGACCCACACCCACGCTTCTGTTGGATGCTCCATCCACACCAGCATCCCAGCATTCATGAGCTGCTTGGTACCTTAAGATATGTAGAAAAAACATTTAAAGCTGTTTCTATGTCCGAATCACAAATCTTTTGAAATCTCTCTGAATCAATTCAGAGGGTTTCGATTGAGAGAGATTAAAGGGTCTCTTGATTTGATTTACAAGCTTTACAGCTTTACGAGCACTCATGGTGCTCTGGCGATGTGCCAGAGGACTGCAAAAGGGCCAATGTGGTTCCCATTTTTAAAAAAGGGAGGAATGAGACCCAGGAAACTATAGGCCTGTTAGTCTTACCTCAGTCCTGGGGAAGCTTTTTGAGAGAGTTATCCTGGCTCATGTCCGCGAGGGGCCAGCAGGGGAGATTATGCTTAGGGGCAACCAACATGGGTTCATTAGAGGCAGGTCCTGTCAGACCAACTTGGTGGCCTTCTGTGACAAGGTCACAAAATCCTTGGACACTGGTGTCGCAGTGGACATAGTCTTTCTGGACTTTCGAAAGGCCTTCGACATTCTCTCACCCCATTCTCATTAAAAAAAACTAGGAGGCTGTGGCGTGGATACCTACACAGCCAGATGGGTCACTAATTGGCTGGAGGGCCGCACCCATAGAATGGTGGTGGACGGGTTTTATTCCACCTGGAGAGATGTGGGCAGTGGGGTTCCGCAGGGATCGGTCCTCGGGGCCCGCACTGTTCAACATCTTCATCAGCGACTTGGATGAGGGGTAAAAAGCACCCTGTTCAAATTCGCAGATGACACTAAGATGTGGGGATAAGTGGACATGCCAGAAGGGAGGAATAGGTTGCAATCGAACCTGGACAGGTTACAGGGGTGGGTGGATGAGAACAGGATGGGTTTCAACACCGACAAGTGCAGGGTACTGCACCTGGGAAGGAAGAACCAGCAGCATACCTACAGGCTGGAGAACTCCCTTCTTGTCAGTGCAGAGGCAGAAAAGGATCTTGGAGTCATTACTGATGCCAAAATGAACTTGGGCAGACAGTGTGGGGATGCGGTCAGGAAGGCCAACCACAGATGCATCTCAAGCAGGTCCAAGGAGGTGATCCTCCCCCTCTATGTGACACTGGTCAGGCCACAGTTAGAGTACTGCATCCAGTTCTGGGTGCCACACTTCAGGAGGGATTTGGACAACATGGAGAGGGTCCAGAGGAGGGCCACCTACATGATCAGGGGTCAGCAGGGCAGGCACTACAAGAAGAGGCTAAGGGACCTGAACCTGTTCAGCCTCCACAAGAGAAGGCTGAGGGGGGATTTAGTGGCCGTTTACAAACTGGTCAGGGGGGACCAGCAGGCATTGGGAGAGTCCCTGTTCCGCCGAGCATTACCAGGAGTGCAAGAAATAATGGTCACAAGCTGGCAGAGGGTAGATTCAGGCTAGACATCAGGAGGCGCCACTTCACTGTCAGGGCGGCTAGGATCTGGAACCAACTTCCAAGAGAAGTGATGCTGGCTTCTACCCCAGAGGGCTTTAAAGGAGGCTGGATGAACACCTTGCCCGTGGTCGTTTGATCCCAGTACTCTTTCCTGTCATGGCAGAGGGTCGGACTTGATCTGCTCAGGTCCCTTACAAACCTGCCAACTATGAAACTATGTTTTGGAGTTTCGGCCACTGAATCTGGCCAAATCAAATCAGTGACTGAAGCTTCACACAGCCCTACTACCTAGTGAATATGACCCTGTAGCATACTGGAGCAACTTCTTTGAAATCACTCAGCTTTTATCTATTTCTAATGTAAATAGAGGGCTTAAATGTTGTATTATATTTTGGGGCTTAACTATTACATTCTATCCTCAGCTGTAAGTAGGGATTTTGCATGAGTGGGACAAGGTCTCTAAGGAATAATAATAATTTTTACAAAAACCTCAGCCATGTGACTTGATTTTCATTTATATTAAGGTACTCCACACTGTGCTGGCATTAAAATAATCATAAAAGTAAAGGACCTGTAGTGTAAATAGGGTGGAGTCTGTCATTTTAGCCCTGTGAGTCTCATTGGCAATAGGAGCCATGTCTAATCATCTATCAGGTTTAGTTATTTTTGTTTTGTTTTTCATATATATGCAATTCTTCTATGTTTTAAGTCGAAAGGTTAAATGTAAAAGGCAAAAGGGGCAACTGCTTACATTGTTTTGAAATTTCAAACTATGTCCACAAAATAAAAGACATTCATATTGTTGTTCCACTTACGAAGAAAAATCTAATTTGTATTTTGTTTTCTTTCAAAATCCATTTTTTTTTAATGCTGCTAAGATTATATTTAATAAATCTCTCAGTTTTTCCTTTTCTTTTCTTTTTAGGGAACAGATAAAAAGAGTTAAAGATTCTGAAGATGTCCCTATGGTGCTAGTAGGAAACAAATGTGATTTACCTTCCAGAACGGTAGATACAAAACAAGCTCAGGACTTAGCAAGAAGTTATGGAATTCCTTTCATTGAAACATCGGCAAAGACAAGACAGGTGAAGTTCATATCAAGAGATACACAAAAGCAGAACTCCTGCTTGAATTTTTAAAAAAGCTAGATCAATTCAACCATCAGCAACTGCCATGAACGATGCATGTTCCTGGGGTGCACAGCCACGCTCAGGGTGTGCATATGCACCCGTGTGCACCCCCTACGCGTAGCCCCTGGCAACTGCCATCCGACATTTATGTATATTTTTCTAAAGGCAAAACTTGTGGTGATTTGCTGTTCAGTGAACCTGCTGAATCGTGATCAGTGATGCAGCTTAGCTGCTCAGCCTAAAGAGACCTAAGCCTCTGTTGCACTGAGCTACCAGGTGGCAGCATACTTCTTCAAGTTGTAATTAACTTTTTTTAATAGCTTTGAGATAATTTCATTTAAAAAAAGGAAAATGTCTGAAGGTTATGCATTGCTTTTTTGAAGCAAAGGTGTTCAGCAGTCAGACAACTAAACCAGTTTTTGACATCCAGTGGTCTGTCTTGACAGCAAAAACATTTCTTTTTTTGGTTATTGACTTATTCTCAGTGGGATATGTTTTGTAAGACATTTCTCTATTTAAGCAATTGTCCCTACAATTCTTTGTCAAAACTTCAGATTTAATTGTTTGATAAACTGGTGTGAATTCCTTGAGTGAAAATTTGGCATATAGATATTTAGTGGGACTCGGATTTTACCCTTCTGAATGAGAGAGTTTTATCTACACAGTATAACTGGTGTGGAAACAACAGGATACTTTTCCCCCCAGCTAACTGGTATAAAGGTGTTTGTACTGGTACAGCCTATTCCTCTTTCCCTAATGGGTAGGAGCTAGCTCAGTATGAATGGAGCTGGCTGAGAACTTTTTGACACACTGCCAGAAAATGTTGATCTGTTAAAATCAAAACCTGTCGTGGAGAAGATTGATCTGCATATTTCCTATGATAAAGAGAAATTTCTTTAACACAAAACAGAAGCATTTGATTATTTTGGATTCCAAATAATTTTCTTAAAAAAAAAAAAGTTCAACATAAAAGAGTATTTTAAGAATATTAAGAATACGACTTACCATCAACCCACTCTTTTCTTAGTTGACTTGTTTTATAATTCCAATTTGAGACCTGAGCAATTTTTTCATGGCAATAGGAATACTGTTCCTTGCTCAGCTCTAGGCATAAAGTACTTTTTGCGGTGATAACTACTGCTATGCTAGGGACTGTACAGGTATAATTCTGTTTGTTTAAAAAAAACCCACAGCTCTTATTGAAATGGAAATGATGGTACAAAAACAGTACTTCAGGTCTAAATGGCAAAATTTCCAAAGCTCTAAATCTGTGGGGCAACAGAGTAAAATAAACTACAAGTAACTTCAGTAAGCTAAGTGGGATACAGGCTGGCTGAATAACTCTAGGTAATATAATGTCCTTGCCTGAATTAGATTGTCTGTCATTGCAGCTGTAGGATAAAAATGGAAAAACTGGGAAGTGACAATAGCAGCAAAAACACTGCTTTTTAAAGTATAAATTCTATGCTTTCACTTTAATGTTGGGATTTTTGTTTACAATTAGCCAGTTAGGTACAGAAATCTTCCTCTTCTCCCTTCCCTCACCACAATGCCTTTTAAATGCTAAATGTTTAAAATTAACCTGTCTTTAGGAGTTTATTACCAAACAAACATGATGGATGCATCAGCCCTTTTGTGTGTGTGGTGTGTAGGTTTCTTTTCCCTTTGTTTCCCTTGCCTGATACAAAATTATTTGCTTAGAAATCACTGCTTGGAATTCTGCTCGGTCTTATAATCTTACCATTCTTAAATTTTATCTTTTTAAGGATTGTCAAACTCTATTTTGGTATGTGATTTGTTTCTCCTCCTGATGAGAGATTTTTTTTTTAAAGAGCTGTACCCAACCATAATGCAGTTAGTGGATTTATTGCAACCGTTTTCCATATGACCTTTGTTATCCTTACCACAAGAGTGCATTTAGGCTAGAACTTACCTTGATCACTGTATTTTACATTTTTTTTTGGTTTGACTTGCCTCTTGCTTCATATGGTTGGAAAGAAATTGTCCTTTTTATCTAGGGATTAATTTTGTTCTTCAAGGTTAGATTATTATTTTTCTTCTTTCTGTAGCTATTGCAACTACTACTTGTAGAATTGGTGTTAGAATTAATTCCAGAACTGAGCCCAAAATGTGGGTGTGTATAGGATGTGTGTCCTTCCCACCCTCAGGAGACCTCTTATTAGTATTAGATTAAAATGGATGGGATGGAAGGAGTGCCCTGAAGTGTCTAGAATTTAAGTTGCCACCAAACCTTTGGACAAGTTTGATGTAAACTGCTAATTGTGTTGCATCTTAATGATCTTCTATTTTAAGATCACAGGAGTGATGAGAATCAGAGGAGTGAACGCTAGTGCCTATGAATTTTGGAGAAGTAAGTAGGGCTGCATTTATAAAAATCTGGATACAGGACTTCACTTATCTTCAATGTGGGTTTCAGGTTTTGAACCAGCCAGCTGTTTTCAAGTTACAGCATAAGAAACACCTGGAACTTGATGTTACTAAACTGCAGTATGCTGCAGTTGTTTTTTATTGTAGGTGATACTTTGAGCCCTGTTTGTTAGCTTTCCATTAAGCTAGAGACAAATAGATTGTTGTGAATGCTAACACAGAATTCTGATATTCATCTGGTATGCTGATTGATCCTTTAGTGGGGGGAAAATAGTCTTTAATTATCTAATCACACTATCTTGTAACACATGAGCAGAACACAGGCACAGTTTAAACTTGTGCATTTGGCATTTACTATCTTTTGAGTGGTTGACTCTCCAACCTTCATCTTTTTAACATAGGGGTTTTTGGGCGTGGTGTTAATTTAATATGCACGGTACATATTTAGTATCTGATTTCCAAAAGGATAGGAACTTAATCAGTTTTTAAAACAAAGGTTTTTATCCTAAAGAACAGCTGAACTTGTACACATTATAATTAGCTGGCATAATTACAGAATAGGTCTTTAAAAAAAAGTGATAAGCAAAACTACCATTTGATTCACTTGATATTTTTATTTGTAGTCCTAATAAATTATTTAACAGGTAACACAGTTTACATTGGCATGATGTAACTTGCTTTTTAAACAGTGGTAGAATATTTTGGTGCACTGGCTATTTTGTAGCACATAGATGAAGATAAGTTCAATGATCAAGATAAGTTCTAGCCTAAATGCACTCTTGTGGTAAGGATAACAAAGGGCATACGGAAAATGGTTGCAATAAATCCACTAACTTCATTATGGTCGGGCACAGCTCTTTTGCAGGCTTCAGTAACTATCATGTTGAGTGTGACTGTCAGATGTTAATACACAGTGGTTTTTAAGAGGCACTTTTGAAGATGAAAGGCACTTTGAATATTTTGACCGATCCTCCGAGGTGTTAATACCCAATGTACAAATAAAAATGTACCCTTTTTTTACTATGGTGAAGGGCAGTCCTGTGCTGTGCTAAGACATCAGAGTAGCTTCATGCCAGATAGTTTCAAGACTGGATAGCAGTGGAATTGCTGGGAGGAAGAGATCAGTGGCATGCATGCATGCAGCAGTGGAATTGCTGGGAGGAAGAGATCAGTGGCATGCATGC